TTAAAATTGAATATGTAATATTTTTTATTTTATGATTAAAAATATCGGATTTTACAAACTATGTGGAAATCAATAGCAATAACTGCCACACAAAAAATAGAACAAATATTTCTGCAGAAAAGAAAAGAAAACTTTTTGCTTCATTATTCTCAAATGAAAATAGAAAAATTACAAACATTTTTTTCCCCACTACGATGCGCAAGAATGACATATAATTTTGAAGAGAAGATAGAAGCTTTCAAAAATTTCTGCGGAAAAGAAAACCAAAATTTTTTATTTCCCAAATGAAAAATCTTTCTACAAGAACTCAGTAACATTCTGCGACAATGTCGCCGTGTCGCCACGGGGCAATACAATATGTGCAAATTGAGCGCATCAAAAAGTCATAATTAAAATTTGAGATTCAAAATTTTTGAATTATCTTAATTTTTCAAAAAAATTTATAATTATAGTGTTTAGAAGCTCTCGTGAGCCGCACATCAACAGGCGATGGGCCTCAGGTTGTGCAACCGTAGCAGTGTAGAGAGCAACAATATAAGGTTCTTCATTTATCTTAACCATGAGCCAAGCAACTAGTTAAAACCATGGATTCATTATGCAACAACTGTTGATTCAAAATTATAGATTATAATTGCAATGACTAATTGAAGATGTTATGCAAAAAATAAAATTTAAATAATAACTTTCCTTCGAATAATAGTTTTTGCCATGAGACACCACCAAACATATTTTCATGGTAATGCGTATGCATGGAAATTTGATAAATAAGCTTACATATATAAATGAAACCAATAATTAAACAAACATAACCTTTATTTAATATCAACAGAGTTTTCAACTAAAAAGATGAGTTCATATAAAATTAGAGAAAGTTAATCAAATGAAAGTAAGCAAAAGACACTTGATTCCTTTAATTAATATGCATCGAACTATAACTCGGAAACAACGCAGGTTTCTTGCCTAATTTTTAACCTGGTCGGCAAATTTTTACGCAAATCTATCATAGCATAATAAAAACGATGATCATAACTACACATATCATCTTCGGGTGTTCCATTTTCTAATAGAACTTCACTTCTCAAGATAGTACCATGTTGGCGTAAAACTCTGCTAACGTCCTCTGCAGTTATGCCCCGGTAATCCAGTTTCACACAAATTCCAGTAATGTTGGTTTCAACAATCTTATATTTTCGTAACTTATTGTTGATGAATATCCCTTCAATATTCTTCAGTTTGTTAATTACTTCTTCACCATAGAGAGTACAGATAATTACGTCACCACTGAATGCATTAACAGAAGCAACGCAGTTTGCATTAAAATAATTTGTTAGATCACCTATGATGTGAAAAGGTGGATAAGCTTGATCCAAATGGAACGATATTGAAATAACTTTAAATTTCGACGACATGATTGATCACAAGAAAACGAGATTTCTCTTTTTATTTGTGGAATTCAGAATGAAAGAAAAACTCAAATTAAATAAAATACAACCGAAAGCACACAAACCACTACTTTTGTTTATTTCTAATAGAATTATAACACTTTTAACTGTTTATTTCTGCTCACTTCTTTATTCAAAAATTTAAGTCCAGGTTCCCTAGTAGTGCATGTGGTTAACAGAAATAAGTAGTCGGAAGTGTTTTTTTTTTCAATCTTAAAATCGATTAGCGTCTCGACTAGCAGTTTTGTTTTCTTTTATTTCATAAAATAATTTTCTGTGATTCTACTGTTCCACTAATATTCCGGAGAAAAATGGTAATTCTTTTCTGCAATTTTTTTTTGTTTATCTACTTTTTTTAAATGTTCTTTTCTTACATACAGTTTTGTATGAAACAACAATTAATTTTTTAGTATAATCATCATAATTTCAGACATATTTCGAAACTATTTACCATTTCATTAAATGATTTGAAATGTTATCGTTTAAGTTTGCTAAACTATTTTCTTTTGTGTTGTGTCTATTTTTGTAAATTAAAACTCAATGTGCTTTAAACGCTAGCAGAATTTATATGCGAAATTTCTGTCCAGAACTGATATTTTGTTTTTGAACAATTCAAATGTCTTTGATTCATAATTATGCACTTTCTCAAGACATCATATTTCTGATCTTTAACTGTACAAAACGTTATTTCTTTAAAACGATTTTTTTTTACTAAAATGTCATCCATATGTTCTCTTTAATGCATATATTTTGTATGTATTAGCGATTTTATATCAGAAATAAAATCAATTTCTTTTCCAATTCTTTACTGCCACCGGTAGAAAATTATCATATAATATTTGTCTAAAATATAATATTTAATATGTTAGAGACTATGAAGCAGAAAATGTGGTAGTAGTGGTGTAATTACAAGCATAGTTAATTTGAAAAAAGAATTTGTGAAAAGTGAGTCACCTTGAATTATTTTTTATTTTAAAAAGCACGTTCTTTTATATTTTATCCTTTTAAATGGCTAATTTTTTTCTACATATTACATTACATTTACATTTTTATTTTACACATTCTATTAAAGAATTAATAGTATTCCTCTCCATATAGCTATAGTCTCCTGACTAAACATAAATAGAACCATAGTCCCCTCACTATACTTAAATTAAAATTTGTCTGTAATTCTAGAAGTTAAAGCTATTATTGAAATGTATAATGTATTTAAATTGATGTATAATGTAACAAAATTTTCTAATATTAAGTATTATAAAATTATACTCAAAATATTTATGTTTAAATTTAATTTCAATTTTATAGTCACACTTTAGCTGTGTCCAAAAGGATAAGAGACTGATAGTTAGTGAAACCGAATTAAGATATTTATTTGCTTATGCTAATATAATAAAATCTTTTCATTTCAAATGGAATACATTGAATTGTATTTTATGGTATTCTGATTTGTGTCAGTTTAAAGGCTCTAAAGCAAAAACTAAAATAATGAACATTAAATGGGGTGAATCTTACAAAAGCAAAGACCAGTTCTAATTGTGAATAAGGTTAAAAGGTTGCCACTTACCACTAATGCCACTTGCTACATGGGCAAGCCTGCTGGGTGAAACCGAGCAAATTTAAGCTAGAGTGTGCGTTTCTTGTTTTTCAGCGGCGTCATCTATGGACAAGAATTCGATTTCTGCACCCGTTTATAGGGCGTACCCATTCATACATCCATTCATTCATCCACAGATCATAATTTTGACCTGAATCAGAGTATGATCAATCTCCAATCCAGTACCCCCAGAGGTATTGAATTGTTATGGGAGCGTGGAGGACTTTTGCTACTTGACGGATTTAACGCGCATCAGTCACTTTACTACACGGGGAATCTTCGGCCGGCAGGGTTCGAACCCACAAACTCTCGAACATGGGCCCAGCGCCCTACTGACCAGGCTATCCCGGCCTAAACGTGTTTAACATCATTTATAAAATAGAAGATAGAAAATGTTTCTCTTCAATCTTCTCCATTGAAAAGGATGTCAGGCAAATTAAAGTATGAGTATCATCTGCAAATTGCTGATGTGTGTGTGTTTTTTGTTTCAGGGAAATCATTCTTTATTTGTTACAAATGAACATTAAACGGATTTAATTATTGATTTTGTCAACCTTCATCTATCAAAAGGTACCTCTAGATAGAATCAAGTTAACATGTCTTATATACTAGTGACTTGGTATTTAATATTTCTAGTGGTAGTTACGCCACATTGCTCCCTTCCAGAATTTTATCTGTGAGAGAATTCGGTGAACGGATACCACTAGTTGATTCATACTGTTTATTTATTTATATAAATTTTTCTCATTATATATATGCATATTATATATTTTTAAGTACAGTAGAGCGCCGATTATCCGAACGTCCAATTATCCGAACTATGTCCGAATTCGTTTTTTTTTTTTTTTAATGTTTAAAATACTTTTTAACTTATATGCAGTTTTTCTAAATTTAGAAGAATAAATAATATCGGCTTCACCTGAAAACCATATTAAATTTACAACCTTTTTTAGCAGTCTTCTTATAGTAGCCATACATACATGTATTGTTATGCAGTTAAACCTGCAAACCCCTTTAGACCTCTTCAACTGAAAATTATTGTCCAAGAATGCGAGCTTCATTTCGATTGTCTACAATTGTTGGAATGTGGAAAGATTTCAGGAATAGATAAGTGCTAATGTTCTATAATTGGAGGATGGGTAGTTGTCACTTATGGTTAATGATTTGTGATGACAGTGCTTGGAATCTTAAATCTTGGAATAAAATTTTTAACAGAAAAACAAATGAAAGTGAAGTTTTTGAACCAGTATATTTTCCGGATGAAAAGATGCCAGGTTATACAGCAGAAAAAATAGAAGACTGGTGTCGAGACACTGAAAACGACCCAGGATTTCAAATTTTAAATGATGATGAAATTGTTGCTGAAATTTTGAATGAAATTCGGAACTCCACAGACGAAGAGGAAGAAGTAGGTGATCAAGTTCAAGATAGTGGAACTTCTCATACAGAAGCATGCAATTCATTAGAAATTGTAATGAATTGGCTAGAACGTCAAAATGATGTTGATCCAGTATAGTTGTATTATTTAGAAAGAATAGGGCAGAGTTGGCCGTTGATTACAGTAATCGATTACAACTGTAATTGATTACAGATAATTACAGCTATGTAATCAATTACTTGTAATCACGATTACAAGTAATCAATTACTTGTAATCGTGATTACAACTTTCAAAAAATTTTGATTACAGCTGTAATCATGATTACAATTTTGATTACAGTAATCAATTACTTGTAATCATGATTACAAGTAATTGCGATTACAAGTAATCACAACAAAAACGATTACAAGTAATTATGATTACAAGTAATCAAAATATATGATTACATGTAATCATGATTACATGTAATTTGATTACATGTAATT